TATTATTGGAATTATTTTATGAGAAAACCCTCGGGAAAAGTTTGGAAATAATTATGGTGCGGGGTTCGTTTTGGACGTTATGTGCATATTTTCGCAAGGTCCGTTTGGTCCGAACAAATTGGGATCAAATTCAGCCAATTAGAGAGAGCCTTTGAAGGTTTGACCTAGTCAAATCTTATCTTCATCATCATGACCTTCATTTATTGCATGGCCTCCATTTTCAACTCACCATTATGGCCATTTATGAAGCTATTATGACCTTACTCTTCAATAATTGATCAAAGGAGAGGGAGAGGGGACTCACGGCCAGCAAGGGAGAGGAGAGAGAAAGGAAGACTTTTTGGCCATTTTCATCATTTTCTTGACTTTGGACTTAGGTCATTAATGAAGGGATGAGGCGTGCGCTTACCTCATCGCTCCGATGACACGTGCGCATACCTCATACCCCCTGTGACATATGCGCACGCATCATCCAAAATTCCTCTATAAATAGAACCTTGTAGGAGAGATTTGGCTCACTTTTTCCCACGTGCACCAACCGGTCAAGAAATAGAGAGAGAGAGAGAGTGCCGATATTTAGAGAGAGAGAAAATAAGCCGAAAGCCAAAAGAGAGAAAGAAAATCCGAGAGTTGTTCGAAACCAAGACCGTCGCCTCTCCGTTCTCTACTCTTTAGTTCTTGTTTTATCAAGTGTAAGTGAGATTTTACTACCGGGAAATGATGTTGAAATACGTTGTATCACGAGCTTTCCCCGTTCTCGGTTCTTGGTGTTCCGATGTTGTGTTCTCTATAACAAGTTTGCCTTGTTTCGTGTTTTTGCATGTTACCTAACACGAATTAGAAACCGAGGCGCGACACATGAGGTAAACCGTGACTTAGCCATGGCCGGAATCCTTGTTTTATGCTTGCTATGCACGTCGTTGTTTGATCGGCCACGGAGGCCGGTACGGTAAGATTGTTTCATGCAATGGCGATTGATATGTCCTCGCCTGTTAGTAAAATTTTACTTGCTGAGTCTCCTCGACTCACTCCTCGTGGTTTCCTCTTTTTCAGGTCCGTAAGAATGGCGTCACCCCCGGCCCTGTTTGGCAATCCGGTCGAGATGAGAGCCGAGCTCCTGACGGTGATCGATGCCCGTGAGAATCGCGCCTACCGCAGGATTACAACCTACGTGATGGTTGACGAAGGTCGGGTAGACCTTGTCCCGCACCCGTACGTGGCTTGGTATCGCTTAGCCGACGGGGATTGGGTCGGCCCTCTTCGTGGATTTAATAGTCCTTTCAGTGGCATGGGCGGTTCGACTCCGGGATCGGCCATGGGCAGGGCGTGAGGACGGCCGTACGGACGAGGGCGGGGAGGAGCGAGCGAGGACGAGGAGATAGTAGCTGTAGAGAAGCTAAGGACCCAAGCCAAAATTTTGTTGTGCATATGGCTTGTTTGTTTTCGGAAGTGCCTTTGAAATAGGCATGTGAAAAATATCGTTTAAGGCTTGTTTGCCCGAAGTAGGGTATGTAAATAAGCACGAGAACATCATGTAAATACAATGTGCACCGTTTGCCTTTATTGCTTGGTTTTGTCTCGTTGAATTGCTTCCGCATGCTTTTCATATTTAAAATCAACGGGACGTTCTAACAATGATTTATGCTTCACGGGCTCGTTCTAATCATGGTCGGTCAACAAGTATCGACCGTAAGTGGTTCGGGACTTGACACATGCGCTAGGGTTTCCGCGAGCAGGGTCGATCCGGCTGACCCGACCCGACTCCGGACCCGACCCGTTGACCGAACCGGTCAACCGATCAGACCGGTAAGCGGTCAGACTGGTCGGACTGGCCTTTTTGGCCGGCTTAGGTGCCGGCGCGTGAGGCCAATGCGCCGCACCTTCAGGAGGCGCGTGAGGGCGCGATCGGCCTCTATTTGGAGCGTGCAAGGTACCGGCGTGCTCGTATAAAGATTCTCTACACTATGGTATATTTATTTTGCATGTTTGATACTTTTAAGGATGTGAAAATACATACGAAACCCTATATACGTGTATTTTTAGGGTATATTTTCGTATTTTCCTGTATTTCTCTATGGTTTAAGAGATACAGATTAAATCTTATACGTATATGATGACATAAGGACGTGTAGATCATGTTTCATTGATAGTATGTATAAGGTTCGGCATATATCAATGTATAAAGCAATGTAATTAGCATGGTATGTAATTTTAGAGACATTGCCCATGTCTTCCAGTCTAGAATTACATCTATATAGTATATGTGAGACATAAAGTTTATATTCTTAGTATGAGAGAGTTTCAATGATTCAATTTGGTAGTGACCGCCAAAGTGGCACACTTGATTGAGTTTGAGAAATATCAGTCTCGTATTGTTAGGATGTCTCCTGTTCTAATGTGTTATTATACTTCCAAAGGAGGTAATTATGTATTGGTTCTTGGAGGGATGCATATATAGCATGCGTGAGAAATGACTGATCCTAGTGGTTCATACGCCCAAAGGTGGTGAATTCATAAAAGATTGGAATATATTCTCATGGCCGTTGTAATGTAGAGGGTATACAATTGCATATCATGTATTCTGCCCAAAGGTGATTATATGATGATGTGTGTAACTCTCAGGAAAGTACTCACATGATGCTGATTATAGATATTGCTTGTTTTTAACAGTCACCTTCTCCCTGAACGGCAACTCCATAAGTATTGAGGTTCTCACTGATTCAAACTTTAAGAAATGGAAAGAGGATTTTCTGTTTGGTATGGAGCTGGCAGATATTCATATTGCTATTGCTGAGGATAAGCCAGCAGATGTCACTGCTGATCTAGTAACTCATTCATATGTAATTTCTTGTCCTCAATCAGATATGTGGGTGGATGCAATGAAAGACGAGATTTAGTCTATGAGATATAATGGTGTTTGGGAGCTTGTTGAATTACCTAAAGATTTCAAGCCCATTAGTTGCAAATGGGTATACAAGACTCAAAAGAGACTCCAAAGGAAAGATTGAGAAATTCAAAGCCAGACTGGTAGCCAAGGGTTTCACTCAAAGAGAAGGAGTAAACTATGAGGCGACTTTTTCACCAGTATCTTCTAAGTATTCTTTCAGAGTGATCATGGCATTGGTAGCTCATTTTGATATGGAATTACACCAGATGGATGTTAAGACTGCCTTTTTAAATGGAGACCTTGATGAGGAAGTCTATATGGTGTAACCCGAAGGTTTTGTAGCTGATGATTCAGGTGAGCTTGTGTGTAGATTGAAGAAATCTATTTATGGCCTTAAGCAAGCTTCTAGACAATGGTATTTGAAGTTTCATAATGTTGTCACTTCATTAGGTTTTGTTGAGAACAAATTGGATCAGTGTATATACAACAAGGTCAGTGGGAGGAAATTTATTTTTCTCATACTCTATGTAGATGACATCTTGCTTGCGAGTAGTGATATTGGATTACTACATGAGACAAAGCGAATGTTGTCGAAGGATTTTGACATGAAGGACCTTGATAAGGCGTCTTTTGTCCTAGGCATTGAGATCCATAGGGATCGTTCTCGCCAAGTATTGGGTTTATCTCAGAGAACATATGTTAATCGTATTCTGGAAAGATTCAGTATGCAGGACTGCAAGTCAGGAATTGCTCCTATCATAAAGGGTGATAAACTGAGTCTGGCACAGTGTTCTCATACGGATGTTGAGAAAACCCAAATGAAGGATGTACCTTATGCTAGTGCACTTGGAAGTATCATGTATGCTCAAGTTTGCACTAGGCCAGACATTGCTTTTGCAACAGGACTTCTAGGCAGATATCAGTCAAATCCAGGACACGATCACTGGGTTGCTACCAAGAAGGTTTTGAGGTACTTAAAGAGGACAAAAGACTATATGCTGATCTACAGACATGTTCAAGACCTACAGCTGGTAGGGTATTCGGATTCAGACTTTGCTAGCTGTCAGGATGAAAGGAAGTCGAGAACGAGTTACATCTTTAAGTTAGCAGGAGGTGCAGTATCATGGAAAAGTGAGAAACAGAAATCAATGACATCCTCTACCATGCAAGCGGAGTTTGTAGCATGCTTTTTGGCCGCTACTCAGGCAATTGGCTCCGAAACCTCATTAGGGAGTTGACCGTATTTGATTTTGTGGATCGGCCCATATAGTTGTATTGTGACAATAACTCTGCAGTGTTGTTTGTTAACAACAACAGAGGACTCAAGGGGTCTAAGCATATGGAGGTCAAGTACTTACCATAAAGGAAAAAGTTAGGGATGGTGACATTTCAGTAGAGCACATTTCCACAGATGATATGGTAGTAGATCCACTAATTAAAGGCCTTCGCCCTTATATTTTTGAACGACATGTCGTTAGCATGGGCTTAGGAGTATCATGGGATACTGTTGTTTAGTGGGAGCTGTTTTTTAATTTATGCTCTAATAAAGTTTACATCTGTGTTCTGTTACTCTTTGTAACATTTTGGATGTGTATCAACTCATTTGCATTCAATAAGGTGTTTCTAAATGCATTATTGTCATGTTAAATACACATATAAGGTGAAAATCTTAAGGTACTGTGTAAACCTTGAGTAAAGGCTATGGGCATTCAGTTATTGGCCTTAAGGATATGTCTTATTACACATAAAGTAATGTTAACAATAAGGATAAGACATATGTAGGTTCATTGGAACCATAAAGATATTCTCTAGTGACACATCAGGTTTTTGTGACACTTAAGGAAAGAGAATGAGGACTGACAAAGGGGATGACACATGAGGTATCACTCTTTATGAGGTGTCATCCGTTTGCCACTACAACCATATCGAATCCATATCGATAAAGTCTAAGACACTTGTGACCATGGAAGGCTCTGGCGTGATTACATGTACGATTACCGCCATGTGATTACGATATTTGAAACTTTGTAAAAAAAAAAAAAAAAAAAAATTTTATAAAAAAAAAAAATTAAATTTTTTTATTTTAATTTTATTTTTTTTTTTTTTTTTATTTTTATATAATTGCTACTATCCGAAGAGGTTGATTAGCACCAGGTTCTTGGGAATTGGGAAGTGCCGGCTTATCAGATAATGAGGTTGAAGAGAGTATGACTGCATCATATTCCTGCAGTAACTTGGAGTAGTACCCACCGGAGTCGATGGCTCCTTCACCAAGATGATCTGAGACTTGACCATTAAGGGAGATGGAGTACCTAGAAGTCATAGAAACTATTTTAGTTGCTTGTTTCAAACAGTTCAATTCCAGTATCGATTAAAGATACTTTCTCCCTTGCACGTGCGAATTGGCGCATCTTCAATTCTGATGAATTATATAAAAAAGTATCTATATGTACTGAAGCAACTTTGACCAAAATTTCTGTCACAAGCAGCTGAAAGGTACATTGATAAGCATGAGTTACTTGTATCCATGCACGACCATTTATCTCGACATGAAGATCGACATTTTGCACTTCAAATACAACAGCAAACTGCAGAAAGTTCACCTAAGAGCGATAAGGGCTTTCCAATGAGCATCAGATGGATATAGGCCTCATTGAGCTTCTTGCACAGCGCTTCCTCCACACCGACAGTCACCTCGATCCCCACAGCTCTTAATCTATCAACACCTTTTGAAGCCACAATTGGATTAGGATCTAGCATCCCAATTACCACCTTTCTTACTTTGGCTCTGATCAGGGCTTCCGTACACGGTGGAGTCCTTCCATAATGGTCACATGGTTCCAGGCTCACGTAAGCAGTTGCATTCTCCACCAAATCCCCAGCATCTCTCAAAGCAAACACCTGCATGTGGGTATTGTGATGCGACTAGTTTATAAGGTCAAAAATTCTTAACCTAAATCGCGGTTTCACAAAAGTTTTCATTATTCCATAGAATAAAAGGGAAGGATACAAGACCAACCAAGTGAAGCATTTTCATAACTTAACCAGTTCAATATACTTGGGATATTCTGCAGGGAACTTAATATATTTTCTTTTCAATACTAGCAGGCATCCCGGAACCCTATAATGTTCAACTTTAGAACAGCAAAAGAGAATTCTCATCATCAATTAAAATGTGAACAAGCAGCATCGATATCTCAATTTCCTCGGCTGTGACCTAGGTAAAGTCACGGGAGAGCTAAACTCCGGCCTGAGGGGAACTACCCTGTGTTCCTGTCACCTACTTGGAAGGTGGGGGAATGAAGCTTCAAGCCTAGTGGTCACAATTGGACAGTCCCAACACCATCTTCTCCAGCCACCAAAAGAAAAATACCAGCCAAAACACAATGCAATGTCCTCTAAACGGAGGTAAAGTGAAGTTCCATTCCACCTAGTTATTAGGCAACTAAAGATAGAGGGTGAAACATTAACGTGAGCGAATTGAACTGACCTCAGCATGAGGCTGACCAGCTTTAGGATTGAATCCTTCGCCGACGATCTTTCCATCCTTGACAATTACACATCCCACCATAGGATTGGGGCTTGTACAGCCAAACGCTGTCCTCGCAAGCTCCACGCACCTCCTCATGTAAAAACTGTCATCATGTTCTGCCATTCCACATTGAACTCTAACTGACTGGCTGCTTTTTTCCAAACCCATGAGTGGCCGAGACAACTTTCCGGATGAAGTGTACAATCTAGCAACAGAACCCGAGTTGTATCCAAGTTTAATGGGTGGATGCCACAGTGAAGTAGTACAAGCGAAGAAATGCGCAGAAGGTGGCAAATCAGAAGGAGTGAGAGGATTAGGAAAAGAGAGTTCTAACAACTGCATGTGTTTTACTTCCCCTGAATATGCTGAGATGAGAAAGGCAAAACTTAGAGGCGATCTAAGGGGACTAAAGGTAACATAGTGTCGTCACGGATTGTCTTCTTTGTTGGACTCTTTAAAAGAAGATGTATGCTAATACAGAAGCTTTGGTAGGAAGCAGAAAGCTGATGGTGGTAAGTACACTAATCTTTCTACCATAGAAAATCATCAAGAGTGACCCATTCTTTGTCCACTAGGCATCATCGCGCTGTCAAAGAGAGAGATACGCGCAGAGAAAGCAGAAGCTAATCGGATGAGAAGGGTTTTTAAAAGGGATAAGGCAAGCACTTTTGAAAGGCACGGCCAAAGTAGTCGCAGCTGTGCTCTCTCTCCCAAGCATTTTGCTCAAGTAGTCATAGCCCAGAAATGACATTTTGGCTTTACATGCATTGAATCTTTTAAGTAAGAATGACGCATTGGTTTTACATGCGTTGAATCTGTAGTTAGAGAAATTTAGGGGCTAATCACTGTAATTTTGTTGACTATATATGGTCAAAGATTGGGACAAATTCAAAGCATTTCCTGATCGTGGAAGAGCACTTCTGATATTTATGAAAGTTAGATACATGTCTCCTTCATCTATCTCTTTTTCTTTTGCTTATTTTTTTCTTTTTACTTAATTATATCCATTTTTTATTCCCTTCCATCATTTCTTTAAGTCCCATAGTTTGACCCCATAGAATCTGAACCCAATTTTTCATAGAAACTAAGAGCAATTATTTGTATTTCACCAAATAAAAAATATATAAATAGTCCTTGAATTGTCGTCCCTAAAATTTTAATTTATTTAATTTGATCCCTGAACTATTTATAAAATATTCAATCTAATCCATAGTCTATATAAATATGTTTAATGTCATCATTCCATTAATTTAAGTTAACAAAATATGCTAATGTGGCTTCTAATCCGTTAAATTTGAACGGTAGACCGAAAAAAAATTTATGTGTGGTTTATCCACGTAAGATATTCAAATGGAACATTTACCAATAATTCTACAACCACGTTGAATATATTAAAAGTACAATAATGACATTGCACCAAAGTTCATGATCCATTTTTGTCATTTCCCTGTAATAAAACCTAAGTACAAATGGGAAAAGAATTTAACTCATACTATGAAATTGTATCTTTGAATTATGTTATGATGATTGCATACTTTGTAACGAAATTATTTTACATCAAAATTGTTATTTTCACAATAATATCAAGAGATAAGTGCACTCGAAGTCCTAAAATTTATCACGAAAGTTCAATTAAATCCTAAAACTTGTTAAACTAGTGCAATCAAATCCTTCCATGAACTCCGCCCAATTTGGCTAAATGAAAATGTCGACGTGACTTTTTTATTATCTTCTCTCTCCTATGTGAATAATGCCAAAACGACGTCGTTTTGGTCCAAATATAATTTTTTGGTTTAAATATTATTTATATTAAAACAAAAAATACATTAAATTAAAAAAAAAAAAAGAAGAAGGAAGGAAAGCTAAACCGCAGCCCTTGCCTGGTTTTCTTTCCTTTTTTATATATATTTTTAAAGTCAGCTTATTTTTTAATATAATTTAAATAATTAAAAAATCAAATTTTGATCAAAACAACATTGTTTTGGCCACGTCAATACCACATTGGAGAGAGAAAATAATAAAAAAGGTCATGTCGGTATTTTTGTTAGTCAAATTGGACAAAGTTAACGAAAGGATTTGATTACATCAATATGAGAAGTTTTAGGACTTGATTGTATTTTTTTTGTAAGTTTTAGGACTTAAATGTATTTTCGTGACAAGTTTTAGAACTTTCAGTGCACTTATCCCTATAAATTTTGACTAATTTCTTGAACCTCAACATCATGATAATTTATAATTTCTTTTGCTTAATATTCTCTCTTTTTAAAACAAGGGAATTGATAAGAGTAAGTCTTTGCTATGTACTTTTATCTTATATTAATATAGAGCAACTTCAATTTTGAGACACTTTGGTCTTGTCCTTCCGCCCCAAAACACGAGATCTTGATCCATCTTGCCGACCAGTGGCACCAAACTCAACAAGCACCACCACCTCAGCAGAACTTGCTGCCGTTGCCACCACACTCGTCCAGGGAAAAGCACAAAAAAAGTTATAAATCTATTGCAATTGTACCAATTTAGTGCTAAACCTTTTAATTGGATCAATTTAGTCTTAAACTTTTTCACATTAATTTCAACTAGCCAATTTAGGCTGAAAATCGCTGATATAGATATCGGCTGTTCTACGTGGCACGGCCGGCGCTGATGGATATTTTTGGTAATATTTTAATAAATTTTTTTGAATTTTTTATACTTTTCTTTTCTTATTATTTATTTCCTTTTTCTTCATTTTTTTTACTTTTATTTTGGCCGGCGGCGTGGCTCGCGGGCAAAGGCCACCTTGCCTACAGCCGACGAGGGCTTGTTAGTCCTCGCTAATGGCCGGTGAGGGCTTGCTAGCAAGGGATCAAGGAAAAAAAAGAGAAAGAAAAGAACAAAAAAATAATAAATAGTTTAAATATATTTTAAAAAAGGTCCACATTAGTGTTGGCCATGCCCAGTAGGATTGCCAGCATCCACGTAAATAATTCTCGACATAAATTGGCCAAATAGACTGAATTGGAACTAATGTGAAAGGGTTTATGATTAAATTGGTCTAATTAAAAAGTTTATGACTAAATTGGTATCAATTTAATATGTTTAGGATTTTTTTGGTACTTTTTCCCGCTTGTCCACCATATCTGAACACGGTCAACACATCACCACATAGAGACAAACGCAGATTTATGGTTAGGCCCTCAAATTTGAGTATGCAACCTCGGAGGGACCTCTGATCTGAGGTTGGCGACCTCAGCCGCTATGTTTGACCTCCAATGGAGGAGAGAGAGAGAGAGAGAGAGAGAGCACTTGCAGAAATGGTGATTTTAGTACTTTTCAGAGATCGAGTCACTTTAGTGTACACTTATAACTTTTGGTTCTTCAAAGCAAAATTTTTCGGCAAAAGGACACTATAAGTGTCATAAGTTGTGTACGGAGGACACTTTGGTGCCATAACTTTTTTCGAACACTTTGGTGCTAAGTCGGAGGAAAAGAGATCACTTAAGTGCCAATTTGGCCGGAAATCCGACGTGGCATTTTTTATTAATTTTTACGCCGACGTGGCTTGCCTGAGGATGAGTCCGTGTACATCAGCATTTTTATTTTAAATAATTTTTTCCAGCGTGTACAGTCAGCATTTTTATTTTAAATAATTTTTTTCCTTTTTTTTCCACTTCTTTCCTTTTCCTTTCTTTTCTTTTTTTCTTTCTCTCCTCGCCGGGCCGGCCACCGGCGAAGCCGGGAAGGGCGGGCAAGGGCTGCCTTGCCCATGGCCGGCGAGGGGCGGCCTCGCCAGATCGGGCGAGGCGATCCTCGCCGGCGATAGGCGAGGGCTGCCTCGCCGGATCTCGACGAGGAAGCCCTCGCCGGCGGCGAGGGTCACCCACGCCCGACTCAGCGAGGGCGACCCTCGCCAGCCGGCGGGGCTCCGTTGCCTACGCCGGCGAGGGTCGCCTCACCAGATCCGGTGAAGGCAACCCTCGCCCGAGTCCGGGCGACGGAAGCCCTCGCCGCCGGCGGTGGTGGGGCAGCGACAAGCCCTCGCCCGTCGCTTCCCTCGCCCACCTGGGGCCGACGAGGCTTGCCCTCGCCGCATCCGGCGAGGGCGCCTCGCTAGGTGGCCGACGAGGCTTGCCCTCGCCCGATCCGGCTAGGGCGACCCTCGCCGGTGTCGGCCGAGGGAAGCCCTTGCCTGGGCGGGAGAGGGTCGCCCTTGCCGGAGAAGAAAGAAAAAAAACATAAAAAGGAAAAAGACGAAAATACCCTTGGGTTAAAGTGTTGTGAGGTAAATATATCACAATGAGTATAATTTGGGGTTTTTAATATCACAAAAAAAAGCTCAGAGTAAACTTATCACAAATGGCATAGTTTGTGATTTTTCGTGTAAAAAAAAGTTCAGGGTAAATTATCACAAGTGTCATAATTTGAGATTTTTTGTGGTATTTTCCTTTTTTTTTTTTTAATTATTTTAATATAATTTAAATTTTATTTTTCTAAAAAAGTACACGTCAGCGGATTAAACGGCGTCGTTTTGGTTTTTAATGCCGATCGGACCTCTCCAATGAGCCATAGACCTCTCCGCGAGCCATGTCGTCGCTACGTAGGATTTCCAGCAAGCCATGTCAAGCATTGGCACTAAAGTGATCATTTTTCAAAAAAGTTAGCACCAAAGTGATCCAAAAAAAAGTTATGGCAACAAAGTGTCATCCGTACACAACTTATGGCACTTCTGGTATCCTTTTGGCAAAATTTTTCATTAAGAATTCTCTGTATTCAATGGCAATATATCTGCATTCATCCATCGTATTACCAACTTGTTCAACAAATCTTTTCTAAAGATCATGACATTGTTTGATCACATTAACAGCTCATGCGCTTAATTCCGGATCGTTCCATTGAAAGGTAGGACACCATTCAAACAACCATAAATAATCATGTCCTGAATTGGCAAACCTTGTCGATTTTCAGTAGTTGGTTTGAGTTCAATTCAAGATTTGGAATTGACCACCATGATGTCGCACCACGCTTTTGGCACGCTAAGGAGGTACTTCCATTTGTCACGAATGGAGAAACTATCCCCGAATGAGCTACTAGGATCCGATACGGATATTTCGCTCAAATGTCCTGCAAACATCCCATCACTAGACAAACGGGGGTCTCTCCCAAATCATACCTCACGTGATAATGGGTTGTGATTTTTTTTATAATTCTATTCAATCTAGGTTTTCGATTTGGATTTGCCACTAGTCATTATTGGTAGATTGACTAGAAACTTAATCGAGGTATAGGAGAAATACCACGATTTTGCGAATCAGAGATTCTGAATACGAGAACTTGGTTACGTTAATGATCCCGAATTGAGATCTCTAACGCCCTTTCGGTTCCTAAAACGATACGATGTGTTTAACGTGTCACACGAGTTTCCGAGATCTATCCACTAATTCTAACTATTCTAATCGTGGGAACTCAATCAATCAATATAAGTAGCACATTCAATTGCAATCAAACAAAACAATCCTAATTTGGGTCTCTAAAATGAAAACCAATTCAAAACGCCCAAACCCTAGTAAAGCCTTAAAGGCTTATTCATTCGATGATATGTATTGTTTTAGGGTTTAGGAATTTTTAAGGGTAAAAATCCCTAAACTAAGGATTTTCTAAAAATGCCATTTAAGCATCTCTAA